GAGTAAAAATACAGAAGAAGGGAAACTTGTCAATCAGAGTATAGTCTTTACCCAAGGCAACTCGGAGAATTTGCAGATTAATGAGGTTGAGTCCAAGGGTGACGAGGTAGGGGTGGAAAAGTGTGAGTCAATTTTTCTTTGATGGTGTTACATGCGTGCAGTGTCAGTTTTATTTTGATTCTAGTCGCTTATTGGCTGTAAATGTGACAATCGCGTGCCAAGGGAGATAACTACCATCGCTATGATCGCCGTTCGTGCTTATTTATACCATGCGAGAACAGTGAGCTTGTAGATTTAAAGACTAACCCGCAAGAAGTTGCCTTCCACATGCTTCGATTAGAATGCATTTCTTCTTGCCTGTTTTGTAGATGTGAGAATGAACATCACCAATCAGGCACTCTTCGTGTGTTTGGATACAATCATTAGTGGTACTTAGTACAATACGCGAAAGTCCCGACTAGGGAATCCCTTACAGTATTGATGACCTTTGAGAGCGTTAGCAAGATAATTATTACACCACAGTCGAGTTACTGCCAAAAATACAGTTTAGTCTGATAATAGCTACAGCAGTGAGACACTCAGTGAGGATCGAACTCATTGTAGTATCAATGGCCTGCAAGTGGCCTAGCAAGCTACACAAAGCTAGACGACCCTGGTGTCCGTCCAAATAGAGTTTAATCTTTCACAAACCTAAAGTAGGGGTTTACGGCTATATCACGTTGAGACACCGGTTACCATCAGTTCATAGATTTTAAGCAATGTCGGGCTTGGTCTGTACTTAGATGTCAATTTGAAATCTTTTCATTTCTACCCACTTCTTAAAATAACGATAGGCATTCATTTATATGATTGTGATTGCAATATTTTGTTAAAGTTGTTAATCTCAAATATTTAACTTCTACGGGTATTTAATTGTCGTAGAAATTGCTATGAGCTTATTCGGTCATTAGCTTGAGAATTCAGATTTATCAGGAATTTCAAATAGGGAAACCGTACCGTTTCTACGGTTCTCCATTGTCATTCATTCACAGAAATTGGGGATCATTGTTTCCCTCTATTCTTTCGCCTCTCAATACGCCATGTGAGTTTTCCATTCTCCAAACCGTATTTCCTCATCATGTGCCCCAGAAAATTCAACAGTATATTTTTTTAATTTAAGTGTTCAACACACACATTCGCGCACACGCACGCGCGCACACACACACACACACACACACACACACACACACAAGGAAGGAAAGAAAGGAGGAAGATAGACGTGTTTAACGTCTATTTCAGAAAAATGGAAAAAGTTACCAATTTCAAATCTTATACCTCTATACTTCTTAAAATAACGACCAGCTTTCATATTTATGTTTTTTATTGCAATATTTTGTTAATGATGTCAAGCCAACATATTTCACGATGTGACAGGGGAATTTCTACGGATATATTTTATTGTCGTGGAACTCGCTATGAGCTTAGCCAATTATTAGCTTAAGAATTAAGATCCATCAGAAATTTCAAATAGAGAACCCGTGACATTTCTACGGGTCTCAATTGTCATTCATTCACAGAAATTAGGTGATCATTGTTTCGCTCTATTATTTCTTCCATCAATAAGTCTTGTGTGTTTTCCATTCTCCAAACCGTCTTTCCTCATCATGTGTCCCAGAAAATTCAACTATATCTTTTTTATTTTAAGTGTAGTATAAATATATATATATATATATATATATATAGTATATATATATATATATATATATATATATATATATATATATATATATATATATATATATATATATATATATATATATATATATATATATATATATATATATATATAAAAAACCTATATATCACCTGTTGTGTAGATGGTGTACTTGATTTTAACGGCTCGTAAAGTGAACTCTGCAAAACGAGTTCGAATCCAGGTCGTGATTGTGATATTTATTTTATAAACGGTATCACCCCATGCGAAACGAAAGAAACAAAGAAGAAACAAAGAAAGAAATAAAGAAACAAAGAAACAAAGAAACAAAGAAAGAAAGGAAGGAAGGAAGGAAGGACGGACGGACGGACGGACGGACGAAAGAAAGATAGAAGTATTTTACGTCTGTTTCAGAGAAATGGTAAAAATTATCAATTTCAAATCTTCCCTCATGCTTCTTAAATAACAATCAGCTTTCATATTTATGATTGTTATTGCAATATTTAGTTAAAGATGTTATGCCCAAATATTTAACAATTCGACAGAGGAATTTCTATGGAGATATTTTATTGTCGTAGAACTCGCAATGAGCTTGTTCAATCATTGAAACCTTGACATTTCTACGGGGCTTGATTGTCATTCATTCACAGAAATCAGGTGATCATTGTTTCCCTCTATTCATTCTTCCATCAATACGTCATGTGATTTATTTTCCCATATATATATATATATATATATATATATATAGGGGAATATTGATGTCAGCACCCAGCGGCGAGAGTCTATTTCATGCTTAAACGCAGTCGGTAGGCCATGACGGAAGACCTGACGATTGTCACCGTTAGGTGTTGACCCCAATGTCATTTTTTAGATTTAGATTTTAACTCATAAATATAGCATAACTTAAAACTATATTTTCATCATATATATATATATATATATATATATATATATATATATATATATATAGAAATATAGTCTTAAGATGTGCTATATTTATAGGATAAAGTGCTCAATATCAGGGATAGAGCGTGTGTAAATATAAAAGTGAACGTAGAAGTCAACATAGAAGGCGACAGTCTGTTTCATGCTAGACGCAATCGTCAGGCCACGAGTGCTGTTATTTTCCTCGGTTATTTATATATACGGGTCAGTGGTGCTTTGTGGGTAGTCTATTTTGGCAGTTATTTTACTGAAAGTCGTTTATTTGTTTATTTATTTATTTGGGTTAAATTATTTTGCTTGTTTTTATTTATTTTTATTTTTTATTTTCATTTCTTATCTTATTTATTTTTATCTTATTTTATTTTTTTTAAATTTTTATTAGTCTGTGTTTTTATTAACGTAGGAAAAAATTTGGTTATATCGCTTATTTAATAGTTTTGTTATGGTTTGGGAAGATAAAGTTATTTATTCAATTTTGGTGTTGATTGTTGCAGTTTACTCCAACTATTATTTGGGCGGGAGCAGTTTTTAATTTGTTTATTACTTCATATATTTATTTGGATTGATTATCTTTATTTGTTTTTTCTAACGGTTACTTTATCGGGATCGGTTTGTTAGAATATTTATTTATTAGGATGAATTTAGATTAATTTATTTTACTTGTTTTTTATTATTTATTTATTATACTGTATATTTTTATTTACACTTCGGATTTCGATTCTTAAGTAACGTAGTATTTATTTTCTTTTTATAATAGTTATAGCTATTTTTTTCGTCCGATTTTTGGTTTGATAATGTAACTAATATTTTGGTCATAATGGTTTGTTAATTTGTTTATTATTTACTTTATTTATTTGGGTTCATTGATTTTGCTTTTTATTTATTTATTCTATTTCGTCTATTCTAAAGGTTGTGATTTGGTAATTTGTTTGGGTTAATTTATTTTGCTTATTTTATTGTCCTTTATTTATTTATTTTTTATTTTATTTTTTATTTTTTATTTTTTTTTCAGTTTTCGATTTTTAAGTAGCGTAGTAAAGATTTGTTTTCATGTCTGCATTTTGAGAAGAGCTCAGATCTTTCATTTAATAATTTATTTTGGTCTGGGAAGGTAATGATAGCTATTTTTTTCCTCCAAGCAAAGTTTGCAAGTTCTTGATTGGTTGTTGTAGGCTGATGATCTTTTCCTTATTTTCCAATATATTTTTTGTGTGATGTGCGTTTTGTTTTTAATTTCCCAGATATACTTAGAAAGCATTGGGCTGTTCGTATATTTACTATTTGTGAAAGATGTTTTGTGTGCATAATTTCTTTGTTTCCAGGGTACTTCAGTTACTCCTATGTATACTTGTTCTTCATTATCTGGTGATTTTCTCATGGCTTGGTATATTACGTTGTTTTGTAAACAATTACCGTTTAAGGGACATTCGTTCTTTATTCTGCAGTTGCACGTGGGTTTAATTTGTTCGTGTGGTTTGTTGATAATTTTCCTGTTGTACTTTTTTTTAATTATTTGTGCCATATTCTCGGTGCAACTGTGGCTGATTTTTACTGTGTTTTTGTTGAATATTTTATGTAGGGTGCTTGATTCCTGGAAGTGTTTATGAAGAATATTTTTCCTACGTTTGTTTTTATGTTTTTGCTGTACGGTGGGTTGAACCATATGATATTTCTTTTCCTGATAGCCTTTTTTGTATTCTGTGGTGAGTATGTGAGTGTTGCTGGGAATCCGCTATCTTTTAGGGCAGTTTCGTAGTCTTTCTTAGCTTTGTTAAATATGGATTCATTGGAGGATTGTCGGAAAGCCTGCGGTTAATCGGTTTTGGTATCTGATTATAGAAGGCTGGTGGTTGGAAGATGTGTGTATGTAGAGTGGCTTATCATTGGGTAATCTGATTCCCAGCAACACTAATACCAAGAAAGCGAAATCCTTCACTTGGACGTCCTACTACTACAGCCAAACGCATGAAAGCACGGAGAAGAAACGCTTCGCAACAAGAAACTCAAATTAGACTGACACAAAATGCTATTCGTACAGCTAATGCAAGGTCAGCAAAAAGTAATGAGCAACGGTTAACTAGACGAGGAAGGAACGCTGCCAAAACTACTGCTACTCGATCTGTCGAAACTGAAGGGCAAAGAACAATTCTGTACAGTCTTTGTGAACGTTGGTTTTCAGCGTTGGCACGGGTGCTAGA